ATATATATATATATATATATATATATATATATATATATACATATGTGGTGTTAAGTTCTTGTAGTCCTCATGTTTGAGAAATATTTTTTTTTGTAAAACAAAAGAAACAAGCTTTCTAATATATTTTTTTAGCAAAAACTCTTTATGCATATTTTTATGATCTAGACTGAAGATATGGGTTTAAATAAACATTTAAAAGCAAACTTGTTTGCCACCATAAACCACAATAATCTTTTATTTTCTCATCAAATGCTCTTAGACTTCAGTTAGAGAAGCAGTGATGATTACTGCCATCTACTGGTCAAGTTGGATAATACATTCCCTTATGAACGTCAACTATCTAGCAGAAGGGAACATTTTTCTTTCCATTCTTGGCTGTATTGCTTTTTTATTCCTTTTTTTTTTGGTAAATATTTATCACATACCATTTTTGATTCTTTACTTTTTTTGTGTAAAGAAATTAAATAATGAATTGCATGGTTCTTCTTTAGCACTCCACTATTTTAGATTCATGCTGGATGTCTTCTGGATGTTCAATTTCTACGTGTAAAATGACTTCCTGCAGTGGCAGTTTAGATAAGTGGGCCTTTATCAATATTCCAACCATTTTCCATTTTCCAAAAGTAGCTAAAGTAGAATCAGAATTTAAATGGATAAAGTTCTGATGTTGTCCGTTATATTATTATTTGAGTATGTTATTAAGTTTAACTTCCTTATAGGGCACTCAATGAAATACTTTGAAAATCAAAAATTCAAGCCAATATGGTTTTTGGAATCAAGGACAAAACCTTATTTCCTTTGGAACAATTAAAAAAATATGGATATTTTGATGGAAAAAAATGAATGTCAATGTAATAACAAGAAACGCCAACTTGCCTGAATATATTAAGAAAAATAACAAAAGTGCTTCTATAAGTAATCCATGAAAAACACTCTGAAAGTGAAAGAAACACATTTTTTTGGTTCAACAAAACCTTAGAGGCATTAATGCTGATATAGGAACCTTCATGTTTTAGTTTATTAACCTAAATAGAATTGTTAACTAGGATTATTAAGTTTTTAACTTTACTTTTTACCTTTTCAATTGGCTTTTCACCATTTTTTCTTAAATTGTTGAATTTGTTTTGTTTTTTTCAACTTAATTTGCAGTAGTTAATATATCAATTAAGGTCTCATCTAATTGGTCAAAGATGTAAAGTCATGTAGCAGGATCTTTGCTGAATGGCTGGATATAGATCTGTGTTTCTAGACCTCACTGAGGGAAGTGGGGGACTCAATTTGTAAGGGGTACGCAAATGATCAAAAACAGTAACTTGGCCTATAAAGGGTAAAGATAACTTATAATATGTCTAATTAATGCAAATTACGATGCTGAACTTTGAAGTAAAGAATTAGAATCAATATTGCGGAAACTGAACTTATGCATCAGATTTTATTACAAATCCATGTCTCTCAGGTGGCCACCTTCACCTTTATAAACCTTATAAATCTGTCCATCAAAGGAATACAAACCAAGCACACAAACAACTAATTCCCCATTTCCTTGAATAATCATCCAAATGTACGGAAGAGTTTGTAGTATCCCTCATAAGAGAGAAAAATTATATGTTCTTCATCTATTTAGTAAAAGGAAAACAGTAATTTCCAGATGGAAGGAACATGTTAGTCAAACTGTAAGAAACAATAAACCTAAATCTGCCCACGTTGGGTTTTTTATGTGTAACCTTTGGGTGCTTATTTCCTTTTTGTTGCCTTTGTGTTTCTTACTGTGCAGTGGAGTCCAGCAGTCCCAGTCTTTTATCTCCTGATAACTCTCTGGAACGATCCTTCTTCATCCGGATGAAGTCTACTCTCACAAAGAGAGGCGTGCACATCAAGTCCTCAGGATATAAAGTAAGATTTAAAGCTGAAAGTACATGTTGATTGTTCAAAGCAATGATTCTTTCAGGGCCAGGCTGCCTCCATGTTTACCATCCATTCTGGTAATGTACATCAGAAGTTGGTTAAATCAGTTTAATTTCAAAATATTCTTCAAAAAAATCTTTATTTTAACAATTAATGAAATGTAGTTTTCAATTTATTATTATTTTTTTTAATAACTAAACCTAATTTATTGCCGTTGATTTGCCACCTTCTCTGTGGGCTAACTCTAATCCTAACATGGTGGACAAAAAAAGTAAGTGTACGGTAAGTAGATTTAGTATAATTCTAGTTTGACCAATTTGAAGAAAGAATTCAGCGCCATTTCTGTGAGCTTTTAGTTTACCAACACGTGTGTTAGTCATCAAATCATTTCTAATGGGTTGTTTTTATCTGTAAAATATGTTAGCATCAGACTGGGAGGCTCTGAATCTAGTTGAAGTGATGGACTTTAAGTGCCATTGACAACTAATTCAATATTGATGAGTATGCCATGACTCTGTCGGCCTACATTAACTAATGCATTGAAGACGTCTGCATCAAACAGAACATCACCACCATGGATAAATAGAGAGGATCGGAAATCACTAGAAGCACCGAACTCAGCTTTCAAGTCTGCTGATAAAGAGGCTCTGAGAACAGCTTCAGATCAGCGAAGCAGAACCACAGCCAGAAGATCCAGGATCTTTTCCACGATGACAGCAACACCAGGAGGATGAGGAAAGGCATTCAGATGATCATGGACTATAACACCCCCTCCCCCCCGGTAGATGCAGTTAACACTAGGGGTGTAAATCACATCCATCATGGCGATTCGATTCAGTTTTGATTTCTGACCCATCGATTCGATTAT